CCCCCCCCCCCCCTCCCTCCCTCTCTCTCTCTCGTCTGTTTTAGCGAGATTGAAAAAACGAAATTGCTCGACATTAAAAAAATACGTTATATCGTTATCGTTTTTTCACGGAATAAAGAAATAATAATAGAATTTTATTTTAATTTTTAAAGCAATTTTTAAAGCGATTTATTGAAAAAGTATATTATATATTATATATTGATATATTTTATTTCAATTTTTAAAGCACGCGATCACGTTTTATTAAAAAAGGAAAAAGAAATATATTATAAAAAAATTATATTATAAAATATAAAAGTATATTATTAAAATAAGTATATTAATATTTCGAATATCAATAACGACGAGTAATAATAATAATAATAATATAATAATGTTGTATATAAAATCTGGAATAAATCATTCATTTCTTTTTTTTTTTTTATTCGATCTGCGTGAAACTTGGATCGAATAATATTTACAGAATAATTTTATATACAAAGTAATTTTATATACAAAAGAATGGGAAAAAATAGAATTTGCTTTGAATCGTGTCAACAAGATCCTCGATCGTAAATCCATAGTGTGATATTGGAATTGAACGATCGGCCATTGATATCGATAACGGAAACCTATTCCGTGGGACGCGTTTATCCGCCACAAGTCTCCAAGACCTTGTGGGCGTAAAACGTGAGACATTAGCACTTACCAATCGTTTAGCTACGTCTATCATTTTTCATTGTATTATATTTATAGTATCATAAATAACATTTCATTCTCACGTTTACATTTAACCAATTTTGCTCAATGATCACATTATTTATCGATCGAACACGAAATCCTTTATTTTCAATAATCTTATGATCATCGTAATCGAATTTCCTCTAAATATCTAAGAAATTATATATATAGAAACATTGTATAATTTTTTTTTTTTTTTTTTTGATAAAATATACGTTTTCGTATTTTTCCAGCAAAAAGTGAAAATAAGTAATAAACAGTAATATAGCAATGTTTATTTATAAAATCGAAGAAATATTAAATGCAATTTGGATACGTGATGATATTAATTCAATTGTTTTTATTTCATTCGTATACTCGTATACTTAAGTATACTCGTATTACTTAATTTTCTTAATTTATTTAAAATTTTTATTTCGAAATCTTTATAAAAAAATCTTTATACTCTTTGATAAGATAGAACAAAACAAAAGTTCGCAATCGAATTTCATTTCAATTTTTTTCGAGAAAAGTGACGAAAACATCGTGTAGAAAATTCATCAGAAGAAAACTGAAGAGAAAAATACGAGTACTATTTCCATGTAAGATTTTCCTTTAAAGATTGAAAGAATTCTACAAGAGAGAGTTCTTTAAATTAATGAAAACGTTATTTATATCCACCACAATTATTTCGTGTATCAATATTTCGTAAATTTATGAAAATGGAAAAGAATTTTACGAATTGAAGATTTTCACGAGTCCGTCGACTCGTCGTGGCTTCTTGTCTTTATCGTGCCACTTTCCGAGAGCTGACCTTAAGTGAGTCACTGACAGCTATTATCGTGACTTTCACGGACAGCCATGCGTAGGCAGAGCGCATCTCGTGATGAGCCGCGATTAAACGAGAAAATTGTTGTTCCGCTCCGTTGATAGCCTGTCGAGTGCAAATAATATGTGATTCTCGATGTCGATCGCTCGACACACCGTATTCGATCACCCTGATGCGATCC